TGTCAATTATACATGGATTAGATCTTCACATTGTGTCCTGTACTCTCCCTTATAATCTTCAAAACAGGCTTTAACCTGAATATTTTAATTTCTAGTTCATTAATTCTTTTTTTGTGTGTGTTCTAATATTTTCTTAAGCTCATCTATTGAATTATCCATTTCAATTATAATTTTTTATTTCTGCAATTTCCCTTTGGGATTTTTAATAGTTGCCAGTTTTCTGTTGAAATTTTTTAATTTTTTGCACATGTTAATCTTGGTTATTTGAAATGCTCATTTGATATATGTAACATCTAATTTACTCAACTCCTATACCACTCACATTGTCTGAGATTTATATCCCAAAGTGTTGCTTAATGACTCCAAAACTATGGGTAACAAAAGCAATAAAAAAGAAATGGACTGCACCAAAACTGAAAACTTCGATGGATCAAAGGACATACTCAACAAGATAAAAGGCTCTAAAAATGAGAGAAAATATTTTCAAATCGTGTATCTGACAGAAGTTAATGTTCACAATACACGATGAATTCCTGGTGTATAACAACAACAACAAAACTAAACAATCTGATTTAAAAATGGGCAAGGGATTAAACAGTCATTTCTCCAAAGAAGGTATACACAAATGACATGAAAAGGTGCTCAACATCACTAATTATTATGAAATTATAATCAAAGCCATAATACCACCTGACAACCTTTAGGATGGTTACTAAATAGCAAGTGTTGATGCTGTTGATGATATGGAAAAATTTGAGCCTTTGTGTACTTTTGATGGGAATGCAAAATGGTGCAGCCACCGTGGAAAAGAGCATGGCGGTTCTTCAACAAGTTAAAAACAGAATTTCCCTATTATCCAACAATACTGCTTCTAAAGATTCCCATGAATGCAAGTAGAGTCTCAGATATTTGTACACCATGTTCATAGCAGCATTATTCACAATTGCAAAGAAGAGGAAAGCAACCCAAGATACTTGGACAGGTAAATGAATAAACAAATTACACTATATAACACAATAGAATATTATTCAGCCTTAAAAAGGAAGGAAACTCTTACATGTTCCAACAGAGATGAAACTTGAGCACATTATCTAAGTCAAACAACCAAGACACAAAAAGATAAATACTCCTTGACTCTACTTACAATAGTTCCCTAAAGTAGTCAAATTCAGAGACAAAGTAGAATGGTAATTGCCTGCATTTCAGAAAAATGTGTTTAATTTTGCTTAATACAAGATGAAAAAAAATTCTGAAGACTGGCTATATACCAATGTGTACATACATGACACTACTAAACTGTTTACTTAAGATAATACATTTTATATTATGTTTCTACATATTTTATAGTTAAAATAATTTAAAAACAAAGGTTAAATATATTATTGTTTAGTGTATTTATTGCAAGATGAGTGGTGAGCTTTTATTTATTTATTTATTTATTTGAGAGGCAGAAAGAGAGACAAAGAGCTCCCACGCACTGGTTCACTCCCAAGATGTCCTCAGAAGGACCACAGCTGAAGCCAGTAGCTGGGAACTCAGTCCAGATCTACCCATGGGTAGCAGGAACCCAGTTACTTGAGCATTTCTGCTGCCTCCCAGGGTCTGCATTAGCAGTCTGCTGGAGTCAGGAGCAGAACCCTGGAACTCTGATGTGAGACAGTACCTTAAGCACAAGGCCAAATTTCTGTTTCTAAAGGTGAACTTTCAGTAGGGGCTTTTAGCATTCTTCAAACTGGAAGGCAATTACATGGTTTTTAAAAACTAATAATATGGCAAATTAATTGATAGGCATTTTAATGTGAAATTATCCATGCATTCTTGGGTAAAGTCAAATTTAGTGTACTGTATTTGTGTTCTCATACACATCTGTATTCAATTTGCCAACATTTTAGTTAGGACTTACTGGAGAGATGTGTCAATAACGTTCTTTTCCTGGGCCATCCTTGTCTAGTTTAAGTTATCATTCTTTTATTAGACTCATGAAGCAAACTGACTACCTTGTTATCTTTTTCTATTCTTTTCAAAAGTTTATATAAGAGAAAATTCTCTCTTTTTAACGAAATGACATATCTCACTTGTAAAATGGGGCTCATTCTTTTTGTTGAGGAAGTGTATTTGGCTATTAATCTATCGCTATTGGCCTATTCAGATTTTCTGCTTCTTTTAGAGTCAATCTTGGTAGTGTAGTTTGATAGATTGTTAATTTCATTTAATTGTATTAGCATAATCATGTTCACTATATTCTGCCTTGATTTTGTTTTATTAAAGATTTATTTATTTATTTGAAAGGCAGAGTTATAGAGAGAGAGGTCTTCTGTCCACTGGTTCACCCCCTAGATGGCTGCAATGGCGGGAGCTGGGCCAGGCAGAAGACAGGAACCCAGAGCTTCTTCCAAGTCTTCCACATGAGAGCAGGGGCCCAAGCACTTGGGCCATCTTCTGTTGCTTCCCCAGGTGCATTAGCAGGGAGCTGGATCAGAAGTGGAGCAGCAGGGTCTTGAACCAGTACCCATGGGATACTGGTGTTACAGGCAGCTGCTTAACCTGCTGTGCCACAGCACTGGCCCCTCTGCCTTGATTTTAAAAGAAATCTCTACTGAAACAATATTCCATTAATTGCTGTTTTCTGTTTGTGGTTGAGAAACAATCAGTGTCAATCTTATTGCTATTTTGTGTGAGCTATCTGTCTTCTCTTACTGGTTGCCTTTTTTCCCTCTTTTTTTGTTGTTCTTCCATTTTATTATAGTTCATATGATTGTAAATTTATGTTAATTTTTTATTTATTTAATATGGGAATTCTTGCTATTTGTCAATTCTAGAAAACTCTCAGCCACTGTTCCATTGTATATTGCCTCCCTTGTGTTTCTTCTGGAATAAATATATATTTAATGTGTTTGAATTTCTCATTTTGTTCTCAATATCTTTATCCTCCTACTAACATTTTCATTGTTTTTTTTTTTTTTTCTGGCTTCCTTGTACAATCTTTAGGCTTGTCTTCTAGTTTAACAGTTCTCTTTTAAATGATATTAGTATGATCTTTAATATTTTATGGTTTAATTTCAGTGACTGTATTTTATAATTTTAGAAATTCTGTTGGTTCACTCTCTTTGCTTTTCAAATAAAATGAAAATAAATAATTAATATTCTATTTTATAAAAAGATATTCTAGAGGCCAGCATGTGGCATAGTCGGTAAAACTACTGCCTGTGACACCAACCTCCCATATGGGTGCTGGTTTGAGTTCCTGCTGCCCCAGTTCCCATCCAGCTCCCTGCTAATGGCCTGGGCAAAGCAGTGGAAATGACCCAAGTCTTTGGGCCCCTGGACCCTGGTGGGAGACCTGGATGAAGCTCCTGGCTCCTGGCTTTGGCCTGGCCTAACCCTGGCCACTGAGGCCATCTGGGGAGTGAACTAGCAGGTGGAAGATCTCTCTCTCTTTCTGTCTCTGTAACTCTGGCTTTCAAATTAACAAATAAATCTTTAAAAAAAAATAGAAGTTGTTATGGTTAAAAAAAATTCTATTGAGGGATTTTTTGAACTTGGATAAAAAAGTAGCGTCTTGGGGTATGCTTTGGCGTAGTGGTTAAGATGCCAGTTGGAATGCCTGTGTCGCATGTTATATTGCCTGGGTTGGAGTCCTGTTCTCCAAATTCTAGCATCCTGCTGATGCATACCCTGATAGGATAGCTCAAGTTCTTGGGTCTGTGCTGCTATGTGGTAAGTCTGGATTGGGCTCCTGGCTCCTAGCTTCAGCCCTAGCTCTTATAGGCATTTGGGAAGTGAAACATCAGATGGAAAATTTCTGTATGTCTCTACCTACTAAATATAATAAAATAATTTCAAAATAGCATCTTGCTATTTGATTCCATAATTTCTCTTTTTAGGGATATTCTCATTTTATGCATGTATATTCATTTCCTTTAGTTTTTGGTCCTGGTTTTCTTTAGTTCATTGAGCATATTTACATTAGTTTATTTAACATCTTTGTTAAATGTCTGAGTTTTCTCAGGGACAGTGTTAGTAAAATGGTACCATCTTCCTAAACCCAGTCTGGCTTACTGGAAGTCAGGTGACCCAATAGCCCAATCACAAGTGTCAGCTCCAACCCCACCCTAACGGGATTTGCCACTCCCACTTCCTTACCTCTGCAAAGCTATATAAGACCTGTTCTCCTGGTACAGGCTGCTGTTGGCTCTGTGCACGGCGAGACAGCCTGTTGGGTTTCCCCCACTCGACAATAAACCTTTTACCTTACTCAGGTGTTTGGTGTGTTTTGTGGTGGCCTTTCCTTTCAGAAAGCTTCTGTCAAAATATTTTTTCCCTGTGTTGGGTCATACATTTCTATTCCTTTGTATATTTTTCCATTTTTACTTGTTCAGAACTGGACATTTTGAGTATTACAGTGTACTAACTCTAGAAATCTGATCCTCCCACTCATGAGAGATTGCTGGATTTTGCTTTTTGGAGGCTGGAAAAACCCACGTGTGACTTTTTGTATCTACTTTTAAAAAAATATGTATGCCTTGTTGTGTATAGCAAGTGCAGTTTCTGTTTCATTATTTCAGTGGTCATTTACTGATCTGACAAAGATTTCCTCCGGGGCTGGCCCTGTAGTGTAGCAGATTAAGCTGTTGCCTACAATGCCAGCATGCCATATGGGTGTCAATTTATGACCTGGTTGCTCCACTTCTAATCCAGCTCCTTGCTTATGTGCCTGGGAAAGCAGCTGAGGATGGCCCAAGTACTTGGTACCCTGCACCCATGTGGGAGAGCTGGAAGAAACTCCTGGCTCTTGGCTTTGGCCTGGTCCAGCCCCAGCCATTTGGGAAGTGACCCAATGGTTGGAAGATCTCTCTCTCTCTCTCCTTGTCTCTCTCTCTCTCTCTGTAACTCTGTCTTTCAACTAACTAAATAAATAAATCTTTTAAAAAAGATATTTCCTTCAATTTCTGCCTTCAAAAAGAAATTTTAATCATATGCTGTCTTTTTAATTCTTACAGATGCCACTGGGAGAACCTGCTGCTACTGAGAGGGACACAATTAAGGCTGGTCCCTCGGGGTATTCCTAGATCAACCAAAAAAAAAAAAAAAAAAAGAAGAAGAAGAAGAAGAAGAAGAAGAAGAAGAAGATCCAAAAAACGTACAAACAAAACCTCTTGTTGTTTGAAGGACAGGAAGGACTGACGCTGTGGTGGTGCTGAGCAGTGGGGGTTGGTTAGAGTGTGTGCATGTTGCTACCTTCCAGAGTATCACCAGCCTCTCCCTCCCTCAAGGTTCTTGTCATCTCCCCTTGTTGTTGTAAATATAGAAACAAGTTCCAAAGTAATTTTGCAATAGTTCTTTCTAGCTCATGTGTTGCTGTAGTGAAGGGACTGGCTTTTAGAGTTTCTCATTCTACCATTTTGCATGATAGTCTGATCTGGATTGGCCAAATTTTAAGAAAAATTGAAGGCCAGTGCCGCAGCTCACTAGGCTAACCCTCCGGCTTGCAGCGCCGGCACACCAGGTTCTAGTCCCGGTCGGGGCACCAGATTCTGTCCTGGTTGCTCCTCTTCCAGTCTAGCTCTCTGCTGTGGCCCGGGAAGGCAGTGGAGGATGGCCCAAGTGCTTGGGTCCTGCACCCCATGGGAGACCAGGATAAGCAGCTGGCTCCTGGCTTCAGATCGGCGCAGCTCTGCCGTTGCGGCCATCTGGGGGGTGAACCAGCAGATGGAAGACCTCTCTCTCTGTCTCTACCTCTCTCTGTAACTCTTTCAAATAAATAAAATAAATATTAAAAAAAACTGAAGCTGGAAAAGAGCATTAGGCAATTTTTTTTAACAGGTAGAGTGGACAGTGAGAGAGAGAGACAGAGAGAAAGGTCTTCCTTTGCCGTTGGTTCACCCTCCAATGGCCTCCGTGGCCTGCGTGCTGCGGCCATCTCACCGCACTGATCCAAAGGCAGGAGCCAGGTGCTTCTCCTGGTCTCCCATGGGGTGCAGGATCCAAGAACTTGGGCCATCCTCCACTGCACTCCCGGGCCATAGCAGAGAGCTGGCCTGGAGGAGGGGCAACCGGGACAGAATCCAGTGCCCCGACCGGGACTAGAACCCAGTGTGCCAGCACCGCTAGGTGGAGGATTAGCCTAGGCAATTTTCTTCTCATTCTCTTTCGCATTGCTATTTCTTTTAAGTCGTATCTGTCACTAATGCATCCTCTTGGCTTTTGTTCTTATAGGAATATCTTACTCGATCTTCACTTTTTTGACAAACAGCTTTTCTGGATAGGAGATCTTTGATGGTTTTACATTTAAAAAAATTTTACTACTTTGAATATGTCACCTCCTTGCTTTCTGGCTTCCACTGTTTCAGAGAGAAGTCAACTGTTAACCTGATTGGTGTTTCTTTGTACTCCTATATGATCAGTTGTTTTTCTCCTGCTGCTTTCAAGATTTTTTTTTTCATTGTGACTGTGATGTTTCTAGACCTCTTTGTGTTTATCCTACTCAGGGTTCATTGAATTTCTTGGATGTATAGATTGTGGTTATCATACATTTTGGAACATTTCATCTATTTCTGAATTTTTTTGTTTCTTTTTCTCTCTCCTAATTAGAATGCCTCCTACCTACATTGAAACACTTAATAATGTAACACATTTCTCTGAGGCTGGGTTTACTTCCTTCTTTTTCTCTATGTTATTTTTTCATTTTCCTCAGAAATTTTTATTTACAGTATACAAACTTCATGCATTTCATAAATAAAACTCTAGGAACATAGTGATAGTGATTCTTCCAACTGTACCCACCCTCCCACCCCTACTACGACCCTTCTTCATTCTTCCTCTCCTGTTCCTATTCTTATTTTATACTAAGATCTATTTTCAATTAACCTATACACAGAAGATTAACTATATGAAGTAAAGAGTTCAACAAATAGTATGGAAAAAAAAATGTTCCTCAACAGTGTTTTAATTTCTTCTATAAGTCACTGTTCATTCAGGAGCATTTTGTTTAGTCTCCATGTGTTTGCATATGTTCTAGAGATTCTTGAGTTGTTGATTTTCAGCTTCATTCCATTGTGGTCAGAGAAGATGCATGGTGTGATTTTGATTTTTTGGAATTTTCTGAGACTTGCTTTATGGCCTGGCCTATGGTCTATCCTAGAGAAAGCTCCATGCTCTGGTGAGAACAATGTGTATTCTGTGGCTCTAGGATGAAAAGTTCTGTAGATGTCTGTTAGGTCCATTTGGACTATAGTGATGATTACTGTTGTTTCCTTGCTGATTTTCTGTCTGGTTGATCTGTCCATTGCTGAATGTGGGGTATTGAAGTCCCCCACTACTATTGTATGGGAGTCTATGTCTCCCTTTAGATCCATTAGCATTTTAATCAGCCAAGTGCCCTGTAATTAGGTATGTATACATTTATTATAGTCACATCTTCCTGTTGAATTGATCCCTTAATCATTACGTAGTGCCCTTCTTTGTCTCTTTTAACAGTTTTTTATGTTGAAGTCTATTTATTCTGATATTAGGATGGAAAAACCAACTATTTTGGTTTCTATTAGCATGGAATATCTTTTTTCATCTTCACATTCAGCCTATGTATATCTTTATTGGTGAGATGTGTTTCTTGTAGATAGCAAATAGATGGATTTTTTTTTTCCATTCAGCCAATCTGTATTTTTTAACTGGAGAGTGAGACCATTTACATCCAAGGTGACTATTAAGTAACGTCTTGGCCCTGCCGTTTTTTCCATAGCTATTCCTATCGTTTAATTTGGATTTCCTTTGTACTTTTACTGGGAGATTTTCTACCTTCACCTTCTTTCATACTGATGGCCATGTTTCTGTGTGTAGCACATCCTTACACATCTTTTGTAAGGCTGGACAAGTGGTGACAAACTCAATTTCTGTTTGTTATGGAAGGTCTTTATTTCACCTTTGTTCATAAATGAGAACTTTGCAGGGTATAGTATTCTGGGTTGACTGTTTTTTCTTCTTAAGACTTGGACTATATCTTGCCATTCTCTCCTAGCCTGTGGGATTTCTGAGAAGTCTGCTGTGAGTCTAATTGGAGGTCCTCTGAAAATAATCTGACATTTTTCTTGTGCCAATTTTAGAACTTTTTCTTTATGTTTTACTGTAGAGAGTTTGAGTACAATGTGTTGTGGTGAAGATCTTTTCTGGTCATGTGTATTAGAAGTTCTATGTACTTCCTGAACTTAGATAACCCTTTCTTTCTACAAATTAGGGAATTCAGATTGGCTGAATGGAAAAAAAAAATCCATCTATTTGCTATCTACAAGAAACACATCTCACCAATAAAGATATACATAGGCTGAATGTGAAAGATGAAAAAAGATATTCCATGCTAATAGAAACCAAAATAGTTGGTTTTTCTGTAATTATTTCACTAAAAAGCTTTCTAATCCATTCTCTTTCCATGCCTTCAGGAGCTCCTAAGACCCATATGTTGGGTCATTTGATAGTATATTGTAGATCTCCAACAGTGTTTTTATTTTTCTAATTTTTCTTTTGCTGGTGAAGGGCCTGACTCTAAAATTTCCAGAGATTTGTCTTCTAACTCGGATCTTCTTTCTTCTGCCTCATCGATTCTGTTGTTAAGGCTTTCCAACACATTTTTTACTTGTTCTATTGAATTCTTTATTTTCAATATTTCATTTTGACTTCTCCTTAAAGTCTCAGTTTTGTGAGAAAAATTTTCTTTCATGTCATGTATGGATTTCTTTAGCTTGTGGATTTGCTTTTGATTACTTCTGAGTAATCCTGTGATCAATTTTTTGAATTCTGTTTCTGGCATTTCCTCAGTCTCTTCATTTTCACATTCTAGTATTGGAGTGTTGTTGTGTTCCTTTGGGGGCATCATATTGTCTTCCTTATTCTTGTTTCTTGAATTGCTGCATTTATTTTTAGGGATTTGTGGAGATACTTGTTGGTTTATTGTTTTTCCCCCTTGATGGCTTTTAGCTTTGGACTATGCCTCTGTGGATTAGTAGAGTGTGTTCTTTCAGTGAATACCCAGAAGTGTGTGCTGGTGTGGCCAGGGAACTCTGTTCAGTGCTCCAGGGTGATGGGAGTGTCCAAGGTGACTCCCAAACTGGGTCTGGTACATCCCTCTTTTTTTTTTTTTTTTTTTTTTATCAGAGGGGAGGTTGGTTCAGCTCTGTTGGTGTAGTTTCACACTCACCTCCTCTCCTCCAAAGAGACCAATGCCTGGGTGCTAGTCCCAGTGGGGACAACATTCATCTGTACTGCCACAAGAACCACACAAAGGATCCCTGCTGTCCTCAGTGTGAGCACAGATGCCACAACAATGACCCTCACCAGGGAATCAGGGAGCCCTGAGCATGTGGAACCAACCACAGGGACTACCCAAAGACACCCTTTGCCCTCCCACACAGCCACAGTGTTTTCACAGTCCCAGCACACAAGGCTCCCACAGTCATGAGCTCCCGGCCCCCGTCAGTTCTCCCAGCCAGATTCAGACATCTCTTGGCTGGTTGCTGGGCATGCAGAACAAGCTGACACAGCTGTTACGTATGTGCAGAATGATGCCCACCCTGCTAGTTACTGGACACCGGTGCTAGGTGGTCAGGGAGAGAGAAATGTGCCTCCTTTTTATCCTCTAGGTTGGCAGGTATACTGTCCCCCACAGGACTCCAAGCCATACTCATGCCGGGCTCTTCCTGCAGCTTTATCAGCAGTGGCTTGTGCTGCTGCAGTGCTGTCTTACCTCACTCCGAAGCTGGTGCTGAGGCTCTTGGCTGCTGGTGTCCTGAGTTGTGCATGTCCATACCTTCCATGGAGGTCCACAGTGCCCCTCTAATTTGCATGGAGTTTCCTCTGCTATTTTCTCTCTAACTCTTCCCTGAGATTGCACTCTCTCCCTCTCTGTGTTCCTCAGACTGCATAATTTCTATCAGTGTGTCTTCAAATGACTTAATTCTTTGTTCTACTAGCTCACATCTACTCTTGAGTACCTTGAATGAATTTCTCATTTTGTATACTGCAGGTTTATGTGCCAGAATTCCCAATTGTTCTTTCAAATGATTTCTAGCTGCTTATGTGTAGTCTCTGTTTGATGAGATGTTTTCCCCA